GTGATGGCTATAAGAAGACCAATACAATATACTAAGATAATGTAACAGAAGAATACTGTATGTATTGTGATTCTTGGTTTACCTTACAGGCAGTGTTCTTTTTCTATTCAGTTAAATACAGTAATTTCACTTCCCAAGAAGTATCACAGTTCACTTTTTGCCATATTAAAAATAATGAGTGGAGGAAGAAAATGTCATGATTCAAGAGACATCACGATCCAACCTATTTTGGAGTAGTTCAGTTAGAGGAGATTGCTCAGGAGAAAAATGGATTGAAATCAACATGACCCATTCAAGGGCTGACTGCTGTCACAGGACATCTGTGTGTGACAGAAGGTTGCTTACACGGACTTAAATAAAATGATTTATGGCAAATAGGTTGCTTGAATTGTCTGCTGATAGCAAATAATGCAGGTCAGCAGATTTTGGGAAAGATTGCTGACACATTACATTCTGTGATTCTAAGATTTAATTACCAGTTCCCTATAGCACCAATTTTTTTAAAGGTGGTTGGGTTTCACACACAATTAGTGTGTGCTAAATCGGAGAACTATCATTTACTATCCAGACATTAAGATCCCTGGCTTTCACTATAAAATAAGCTTTGTGCCCCACTAGACTGCTTTAAACTTTTTTGTGTATCCTGTAGTATACTGAACAGCTTGATCCTAGGAAGAATGAGTTATGAGCGGCTCATGATCTCAGCAGACCAAATCACATCCAAATCCCTCTCCTCCCGCTGAGACCAAGGGTCACCTATGAAGTGAGGTGCATTCGAACATGCAGGAACACTGAGTTTGGGATTGCAATTTGTGAATGGTCAATTTAGCCTTCTCACTGGCCCTGCTAGCAGCAGGATGGAATCTGCAGCCAAGATAGATCAGTTCCTACTCAGATGCTGAAGGAAGTCCATACACCCAAGACGTTGCGCCATATTTTTCTCTCTCCAAAAACTGTTTGCAAGCTTGATCTGTTTTACTGTTGGCTGAGCAAATAGAAAGCAGCCTGCAAATAAAGCCAGTTTGTGGGAAGGATTTATATTTGGCATTTGTCCCACTGGTTGGAGGAGACAGGAGGGGTGGAACTTTGTGTGTTACCTAAAAGAGCAAGAACCATTATTGGGGGAGAAAATTAAAAGCATTGTATGATATGTAATCTTGGGTGAGCTACATCGTCCCAGAGAACGCCCAGAAGACGACAATGGTTAATCACTTCTGAGTTTTTTATACCTAGAAAAGCCTGAGAAGAGTCACCATAACTCAAAATTGGCTTGACAATATGCAATCATTATTATATATGCTTGGATTAGGATTGAGAAGAGAACTCTGTTGCAGCAGATTGTGAGGCAGAGAACAGTGAAATCTGAATCTTCCTCAACCTGAGTCATACATAATTTGTAGGCTATTACCACTACTCGTCGCTGTTTAGTCCTTTAGTCGTGTCCGACTCTTTGTGACCCCATGGACCTGAGCACGCCAGGCCCTCCTATTTTCCTCTGCCTACTGGAGTTGTGTCAAATTCATGTTGGTTGCTTCGATGAAACTGTCCAACCATCTCATCCTCTGTCGTCCCCTTCTCCTCTTGCCTTCACTCTTTCCCAACATCAGGATCTTTTCCAGGGAGTCTTATCTTCTCATGAGACGGCCAAAGTATTGGAGCCTCAGCTTCAGGCTCTGTCCTTCCAATGAGCACTCAAGATTGATTTCCTTTAGAATTGATAAGTTTGTTCTCCTTCCAGTCCGGGGGACTCTCAAGAGCCTCACCCAGCACCACAATTCAAAGGCATCAATTCTTTGGTGGTCAGCTTTCTTTATGGTCCAGCTCTCCCTTCCATACATCACGACAGGAAAAAACATACTGTAGCTTTGACTATTCGGACTTTTGTTGGCAAGGTGATGTCTCTGCTTTGTAAGATGCTGATAAGGTTTGTCATCACTTTCCTCCCAAGAAGCAGGCATCTTTTAATTTCCATGATCACTGTCTCCATCTGCAGTAATCATGGAGCCCATGAAAGTAAAATCTATCACTGCCTCCATATCTTCCCCTTCTTTTTCCTAGGAGGTGATGGGACCAGTGGCTATGATCTTAGGTTTTTTGATGTTGAGCTTCAGACCATTTTTTGCATTCTCCTCTTTCACCCTTATTACAGTACAAGGTTCTTTAGTTCCTCCTCTCTTTCTGCCATCAGAATGGTATCATCTGCATATCAGAGGTTGTTGATATTTCTTCAGGCAATCTTAATTCCGGCTTGGGATTCCTCCAGTCCAGCCTTCTGCATCATGTATTCTGCATATAAGTTAAATAAGCTGGGGGACAATATACAGCCTTGGCGTACTCCTTTCCCAATTTTGAACCAATCAGTTGTTCCATATCCAGTTCTAACTGTTACTTCCTGTCCCACATATAGATTTCTCAGGAGATAGATAAGGTGGTCAGGCACTCCCATTTCTTGAAGAACTTGCCATAGTTTGCTGTGGTCCACACAGGCTTTTGCATAGCCAATGAAGCAGAAGTAGATATTTTTCTGGCACTCTCTGGCTTTCTCCATAATCCAGCGCAAGTTAGCAATTTGGTCTCTACCACTACTAGTGAGATACTAATCCTGACACCAGCCCATAATAGATTTGCTTTTGAGTTAAGACAGTGCTTATCATAAATTCTGAGGAAGTCTGGCTGTTGTCTCCCTGCCAGCTTATTTCTTTGTAAATAAATATATTCCTTATTGAACTGTTATGCTGTTAAACTGAATGTAATGAATTATCCCTGCCTTTGTTGTTGTTGTTGAGGGAGCTAACTGAGCACAAGCTTGTAGCTCAGAGTGTATTCATTCATGCAAAAAAACTGAATCAAAGCTCTGCAATAGCTGAAGGCTGCATCCTAAGAATGCTTATAAGAAAGGAAATCCCATCGAACATTCTCAGACTTGCTTTCCATGAAACATGGAAAAGATGTGAACGTAAAAGGAGCTGTTTGGGGTATCTGAAGTTACTTTTGCTGATGTCCATATGAGGAACAAGGGGTGCTTATTCTTGCTGGAGCGTAGTGAGAGTGTTTGAGGTGGCAAGCGACGTTATCACAAAGGGCCACAGCTTATCCAATGAACGATAGCCTGACAAATGGAACTGACCATAGGACTGCCTGTATTAGTGTCCCTATCACAGTGTATTGTTGAAATCGAAATATGAATCTTAAATTACAAGAAAGGGAGAGAAGGCTGTCCCCATACCTTTTGTGTTGAGTCTCTTTAGTGATTGTTTATAGAAGGTTGAGGGGAAGGATACATGTTTCCTGAAACTAGTAAGAGCTGGGTGAGTCTGTGACAATTGTGGATTTTATGAAGACCCCCAGAATTCTGTAATTCAAACACTGTCCATTATTTTCCACCAGCTGCCATTGTTACCTTTCTCCCTTCTCTGACAGAGAGTTTACTCTCTAAGATGAGGAAATAGTGGAACAAAGCAAGACCAAAGGCCATTTGTTGGAAATGGTGGAGATACCAAAAGCCTAAGTAGTTCCTCTGCAAGGTTCACTGCAAAGAGAAAAACGATAGCAGAAAGGCTGCAAATGACAGAGCTGGCCAAATAAATTTTGCTGCCTGAAGTCAAGGACCATATATTTCCCATCCGTATGCCCCCTACACAGGAGGTCTATGTTATTTTGGTGCACAAGGCAGAAAATCTCAGAAACGAAGTTTTCCCATGTCAACCAAATCAGACCCGGAGACAGTGGATTCCCTCTGCTTGACTGCAGTGCCTGCCCTTGTAGCGGAGACATTGGGTTCCCTCTCTGCTTGACTGCAGTGCCTGCCCTTGTAGGCATCCTTCAGTCTGGATGGGACTATGGTAACGTGCTCTGAATAGCGAGGTCTTGGAACAGCGTCTAGTGTGGCTGAGAAGGCCAATTCGAAAGTGACAATCCCTTCTACACTGAAGACAAATACAATCTGTAGCGCCTGCCCTATAAAACTGCTCAGTGGGTTGGAGTGGCTGCCAGGAGTCGGGAGTTCTTCTTCCCCACCGAGATTTCAGGGACTGGATTCTGTCGAGATCATCCACAGCACGTGGAGCGCCGTCCTGTCATCCGCTCACCCTTAACGAAAGGCAGTAGGGCCCCAGAATGCAATCGGGAGGGCATGGGGAACTACTGCCGAGTATTTTACATCTCGAAAACTCTACGAGGGAGTCGGAATCGACTCGATGCATGAAAAAAAAAGGCGGGAAACGACGGTCAGGAAGCGCGGAGAGCGCGGTGCCAACGGGTTGGGGAGGGGGTTGTGTGAAATCCGCTCTTAATGGCATTAGTGTCCAAGCAAGCAGTCCAAGCGTCTTTGCTTCAGAGATGGAAGGGAGCTTGGGGGGGGAGGGTTGTGTGAAATCCAGGCCCGCTCTTAATGGCATTGGTGTCCAAGCAAGCCGTCCACTTCTTGTCTGCGGATAGGGAAGAGCCCCCCGCCGTTAGTCCGCCTTCTGCTAAGCAAAGGGGTAAGCTGGCCGGTTTGCTCGTTCTGCCTCCTTCCTTGCCACCCACCCCCCGCCATCCCCTTCCGCTAATCTCTTTTAATCTGCTCCGGAAAAGAGGGAAGCGGGGACCTCGGGAGGGCTGTCGCAGCAGCTGCACGCGGGCCCCCGCGAATCTCTGGCTTCGGCCACCATCCTCCCTCACGTCCCCTCCCAGGGAAGTCTGCGGCAGCAGCAGCTACCCGGTGGATGTGCCCCTCCTCCTTCTCACTTCCCTTACTTGACTGTCTCTCTC